TTCGACGTTGACAGATGTAACTGGAGCATACCTAAAATATGTAAACTTTCGTAGTCACCATTCATGCCCGGTGTGGCGCAGTCTACTTCTTTGTCGTAAAAGGTCTATTACACCATCATCGTACCAAATCCGAGCTTTTTTTTTTTTTTTTTAAAGAGTGGAATTTTGTTTGTACTCTCGTATCAATTTCTCCCTGTAATTGAAAAATATATTCTCAAAGATCGAACGCAACGTTTATTGCATCAACTGTAGTAAATTCTGATGTTGGCTGATATTGAATGTACCGTATGGCTAGAGGAATTCGTGAAAAACTCCCGTGTATGGTCTCTAGATTTTCTCGAACAGTTGGATACATAGGCTTTTCACATTTTCAAAATGACAGTGATAGTACGATGCTGCCTCTAGCCAAGTTCCCCATCGTGTTATAATGGGCTGTGGAGGTAATGGAGTATTTCGTAGAATTTCATGAAATAACCATACACGACTTGGTGCTTAAGAAAAACTTTCTTTACACTAGATATCAAATTATCAACATTAGAGTAGCACCCCCCTAATAGCTTCAGCAATCCTATGACGCCCATGTGCTAAACATGTACTGTACTGTCGTACAGAATTTGAAAAAGTACCTTATTTTTAATATAACGGGAAAGTTCCAGGGTGGCACACTTTTTAGTTTTCGAAAAAAAAATTATTATTCTTAAATTGTCGCCGACACCTCAGCGCATTTTTTGTATATGGCGAGACCCCCACAGGATATTGGAAAAATCTGCAAGGCTGTAAAAAACACCTTCAGTTTGGTATAATGCGAAAATTTCAGGATCACACTTCGAAGTATCCTGAAAACAATTATTATTCTGAAATTATCAAGATCAATTTGCATTTTTTGCATAGAATACTCGTACAGACTTTTGGGGAAACTGATAGCACGGTTGAAAAGAACACCTTCTTTTTAGTATAACGTGAAAATTCCAGGTGGCACACCTCGAAGTTCTCGAGAAAAAAAATTATTCTTAAGTTGTCGCTAACATTTTTTGTTTTGCATATGGCGAGACTCCCTTTGAAGAAAACCAATAGCAAGGCTGGAAAGAACAAGTTTTTTTTAGTATAATGTAAACATTTCAGCACATCTCACAGTTTGCCAGGGAAAAATTATTATTCTTAAGTTATCGAGGACCTCAATTTGCATTTTTTTCATATAACAAAACTTGTGCGGGTTTTTGGGAAAAACTAGTACCAGAATTGAAAAGAGCACCTTCTTTTTGGTATAATGTGAATATTTCAGAATGGCACACTTCGTAGTTTTCGAGAAAATAATTATTATTCTTAAGTTGTCTCTGACCTCAGTTTGCATTTTTTGCATATGACAAGATTCTTAGGGGTTTTTGGAAAAAACCGATAGCAGAACTGGAAGGAACACCTTCATTTTAGGATAATGTGAAAATTCCAGGATGGCACATTTCGTATTATAATAATACACATATTTATAACATTCATTGCAACAATTGTACTGGTCACTGAATTTCTCTTCCGTTCTTTTCGTTGTTGTGCGTCTGCTTGTACAGATACTATACCTAAAACAAAAAACTCATAATCGAAAAGGGCGCAAAATGTTGCGGGCTTCAGGCGCCAGTATTGCTTAATTCATCACTGATGTCATTCCTGGTAGCAAATAACGTTATTTCTATTTTTTTTATATAGCACTTTTTTGAAACTATTATTCATAAAATGTTTATTATTAATAATATGTTTTTGTATATTTTCATGTCATACAAGTTTACATTTTGTTAGATATGGTTATGTTCATGTCGATGTTTATTTACCACGCTCATCACATTAAAGTCATCACCATCTGAGATACTCTCTTTCTGGCACGTCCCACTACAAATAGTACCAGAAAGAGAGCATCTCGAAAGGTGGTGACTTTCTGAGTACTGTACTACAGAAGGTACACTTCAATTTGGCAAATAAACTATAGTCACAAGACAATGTCCTTCTATAGCATGTTATTACAAAAACAAAAGCATATAATACATGTATCTATTGCAAAATAATTAGATTGCTAAAATTATATTTGCACTAGACTACCGCGCAAACATCATATAACACAAACATCAAAAAGATTTGGGTCGGAAAGTAAGACGTCATTGCACTGGCAAAATTATCTTGAGAACATCAAACGCGATCTAGACTTCTGTATGTAACGATATAAGTAGGTACTCTGTTTTGCTTTCAGATAATACAACGTTCGTGAACAAATTTAAGATACTTTATTCTGACTTTTTTTTATTTTGTTCACACGATGTACCTAATTTCAATTTAACTTTTTTTAGAAAAAAATGTGAGAAATGATTTATAATATAAAAATTTGTACTCATAGTTATTCATTGGAAGCATTTTCATAGTTTTTAAAAAGAGCATTTCAGTTTAAAGATCTTCCTTATTAATAGAGAGCGGACGAGCATGGGACGACTTTACTTTTATATAAAGTTTATTACAGAAATACTGTGCATATAAAAAACTCAAAGGCTGCCCACCCAGCTATCGACAGCTATTTGAAGGGAGAGTGGGACATGCTTAATTTTTTACACCATGTTAAATAATAAATATGATGTATTACTTAATGCATAAAATATCATTATTCTTATGTAAAGTATATTCTGACATGGTTATGATTAAAATACGAAATTAACAGAAGCATAGTTGTTTTAGATTCCTAAGTCTTCTAATAATAGTGGGCGGATCGCCCCTATAAACAACACACTTAATTATCTTCGCAGACTCTTTGTTCTTTCCCCTCGCGTCATCTTCTGGACAGTGTCGAATTTCATATTTATCAGTTTCGCGAAGGACGACGGAAGTGTGCTAGGTGGGTTATAATTGTTATAATATATTCTAGTAGGTCAGTAGGTGGTATTTTCGAGCCTATTATATATTGCTTTTAAAAATTAGATTAGGAATTTTAGTCGGTGTCAGTTTTAGTGCTATAAATGTGTTTTATTTTTTGTGTTTACATTGTATATTTTAGCAGATTGTGACAACTTAAAGTCGAGCTTGAAGTGTTTAACAGGTATGTAGGTGAAATTTTCCTCTGTGTTTACGTGTATTTTACACACTTGTGTTTTTAGAAATAGGTATTTTGGCGGGCAGGGACTATTTGGGTGTTTTCTGTTTACAAGTGGCTGTGGTAAAATAGTATTGGAAAAATGTTCAGGCCTTGGGAAGATCCTCAACCTACCACCAGCAAAGAATGTCAAGAGGATGTGGAAGATGGTAATGTTTCACAAATTACAAAGGAATTTTAAAATAGCATGCCAGCCGTCATAAAAAATAGTTTTAAATGTTTACAAAAATATGAAAGAATATGACAGAGAAACAGGAGCCGTGGGAAACATAGTCTACTTAACAGAGTTAATTAATTACTAATTTTAATTTAGAGTTAGATTCGAGGTTAGATTTTAAGTTTGAGTGAAACAGAGTACGATTTTTTAATTTTACAGAAGTGGGATCAGACCTATTTATCTGACACTACTTTTAAATCTGTTGTATTATTGTGTTAATTGTAACACATAGAAATTTGAAGTACGGTTCTACATGCCGCTAATTAGGTTTTGTTGGCATGTGATAGCGCTAACTTTGCAGTTTTTATGTCAGTTTTTGTAGCTTTTTTTTATGTGCACAGTATTTCTGTAATAAACTATATATATGCATATTTTTTAGCAACGTAAGATAATTGAATACTGTAATAATAGGACACATTGTTTTAGACAGCTATGACTTGATACAAATACGGGAGTGCAGCGACCTTCTTTTTAAATTCTGATCTTCGAGTTTTTGTGGGATTATAGGTGGAATGGGAAAATCAACAACACTTATTGAATTTAATGCCGACGTTTCGAAAAATTTACTAATTACTATAGTAACTATTTTAACGTGTATGTGTATTGTCTTACCTATTTCATAAAGTTTTAACTTTTGTTAAAAAACATTTTAATTTATTGTTAAGATTTATTTTATAATAATTATAAGATCGTGTTCATAACAAACTCCTGTATATTAGACACAAACAACATTACGAATTGAAATTGAAAAAAAATAAATTTTTCCAAACGTCGCGCGTCGCGCCGGCAGTAAATTCAATAAGTGTTGTTGATTTTCCCATTCGACCTATAATCTCACAAAACTCGAAGATCAGAACTTCATACAAAGTTGAATACCTACCTGAAAAAAACATTTTAATTAAAATTGTATAAAAATTACGAGAAAAATCACAAATTTAAACATGACCTCGAACGTGACACGAGAAAATATATATAGCAGAGGGCCAAAGGAATTATTGTTGTATTCTTTGGTTATGGTTGGATATTTTCATAGACATATATGTCTACGGTTATTTTAAATAGCTAACTTACTGTGGGGGTTGCAATACTTCACGTGACTCGCTCATTCAGGCGGAACAAAAAATGTGCTTAAACCGTTGAATTTCAATCAACGCTTGAACTTACAGTTATTCGCACGAACAAATTGACACCTAAAGCAGTCATGTGACAGTGTTATAATCCCCATAGTAGGTAGCTCTTCATAAGGAATCAATTAAATGTTTTTACCAACTTCTCAAATTCTGAACAATTCCCGAAATACAAATGAATTTTATGTACGTTTTACGTCAGCATCTTAAAGAGGGTCTTCAACTATAAGAAGTTTTCAGGTAAATGTATATAATGACCAGAGTTCTTATAAGAACTCTTCTGGACCTCTACTGTTTTTTTATGAGATTTGTAGTTGTATTTTTTTTTAAATATCTTTAGGTATATTTTATTGAGAGCTCGATTGAGAGGTTTTTTAGTTTGTTTCGAAACGTATTTGGAACACCTTTACGAAAATTAATATCTGTTGAAGTTTTCCTCGAGTTTTTCCTCTGATTTTTCCCGTTATTTTCATACTCGTGATTATACTTCAGAATCGGTTATACTCGTTGGCGATTATGTGTACCCGATAAAAGTAGCTTCGTGGTCGAGTGGTAAGCACTCACGCCTCTCACCTTGGAGTCCCGGGTTCGATCCCCAGTCGTGGAGCTAGGATTTTTTCTAAACCAAAAATTAATCCTAGCATACTCGGACATTGAGTGTGTGTCCATTGTCTCTAAATGCGTAGCCTTCTCCCACACAAGGTCCCGTGACGTATCTTTAGGGATACAGGGGGTTGTATTACCTATGGTGGTGATGGGGTGGTATGACAATAACGGAGAAACATGAAAATTACCTAAATGGGCGATACGTAGGTATAAAAAGTGTAGGAACATACATTTTTGGGTCGTATTTTACATAATTTTCAACAGCTCTGCTTGCTAACAATTTTTATAGGTCCCCGTAGTCTCTCTTTGGTTACTGAGCATTTGCTTACGAATGTAAAATACATTTAGGTCCGTACTTACGGGAAAAATAATCAATGTTCAGTATGTAACTGTAACTATTTATACAGAGGTAACCTATGCATTATCACGTTATCTTGCCTATTTACTTTCGTATTCACTAGGTATCCGAACCACCTTAATGACGCAGGTCGACATCCTAATTCTGAAAACGCATCATACTTTTTCTCTTCAATGTTTTCGTGAATTATTTGCAAAAAACGCCAAAGTTACTTATGCCGTTAATTACCTAAATGTTTTAAAATTAACACCAGGAATATTACTACTTGGAAAACTGACATAGTAGGTATATCGAGTTTCCAATCTCGGTTCCAATTAGTGCTGAAATAGAGGATCCTCGAGAAGATGGCTACTATACCATGGCATCACTTTGCTTTAAAAAAATTTAGTAGCTATACCTATTGGAATTGATTCTTAATTGGATTCTTATTGGATATTTTTTGTTCATTTAGTTGGTCTAGGAAGATGCGGCAAAGTTTCCCAGGCATAAAAACCGAGATAAAAACGTTATCATTTACTTAAAATAAAAAAAGACTTAACCAACCACCTCTTTAATGAAAAGAATTAGGTTTCATGAGGTCATGAGTGAGGGCATACTGGTCGACAGTAATTTGTTTTTATTCAACCATGTTAGTAGTAATTATTACGTAAATGGTATTAAAATATTGTGTCAAAATTCAATTTATATTGCGGCTAACAGTTCTATTATGAAAAATAGAAACACCATAATAATACACTCTCGAATACACGTCACAAAATATGTTTATGTAAAGTAACAGATTCGTTGCAGTTTTTATAATTAGGCTTGAACAATATCTATTAAAATTGTTTCAAAACATTTACAATTATAATTAATTTAGGGCAGATTGGTCCTTAACAATCGTGTAGGTATTTGACTCCGTATTAGATCTAGGTATGATCAAATTCTTTTTGATTGCTTTAAGCTATCGATTCCAACTTTTATTAATTACATACCTATATGTCATAAAATTGCAAATAGCTGGACGAATTCCATTAAAAGAATAAAAAAGCAATATAGGTAGCAGACGAGGCCATAAACCAGGGCCGCCTTGATGCCTAGGGAGTAGACAAACAAAATGTCGGCGTTACAACATATTGCAAGATCTTGGGCTTTACCAAATATTATAAAGTAAATTTCTAACAAAAAATTAAATAGCGTTTTTACCTCTCTATCCTCCTGTCTCTGGCAAATAGCTCAACTTTCATAATGACATACGGACAAAGAGTATCTTCAAAGTCCAGCCATCTTGAAAGAACGAATGTTGATCAGTTTGTTTACAAAGTTATTTTTCAAGTTCTCGAGTAGTTTAAAGGCATTATTTTAACATACACGCGTTACCACACATCTTACACACAATTAATTATCACACGTTTCACTTTAACTACACTATTACTCCATATTTAACGTTTTTATTCATGCTGCTCCACACACGTCCACTTTCGAGGGTCTACGTTTCGTTCAACTTCAACCGTCACCCGTTTGACGTCGCTACTTGTATGGAAATTGGGAACGAAAATCGAATCGTATGCGGGTCGCCCGTTGTTATATTTTGAGCAACGCAATTTTTTAATAAAATTGCGATGAGTGCATATTTTGTCTGGCACGTATGACGATTTTTTACCGCTACAATAAATACAATCCGAATGACCTTATCGCGTTACGCCCAAATACATGTTATAAAGCAACAAGTGCTACCTATTAAGTAAAATCTAATTTTGCTTCTTCGGTTTAAATTTACAATTGATTTATATTTTTTTTTTCAAATGTTACCTATAATACCTTGAATAGGAAAAATATTACACAATCTAAGGTTTTGTACCGGTTCAAGTCATACAAATCTTGACATAGGTATTTATAAATACGTAAATTTGATCGCCAGCCAGCGTATTATTGTACATTGTAACACAACACTTTCACACTATTTGTTCGCAACCACAATAATAAGCAGTCTAAAAATGTGTCAAATCAGTGTTGTTTTACTTTACTGGTAAAAATAAGAATAAACACTTGTGAAATCAACACGTATTACAATATAATTACACTGCAGCATAGTCAACCAGCAGTGCGCGGCGGTGAATGTTGTGATTCTTGCCTACTTGTGGGCGCAAGCGAATGATGTCACAGACAGCTCATACTGACCGATGAATCATACTGCGTATTTCCTGAAAAGGAGGGAATTCCAGTGAATGGGATTTTCTTATAGTAAGTACGATACGAGATGAAAAGGCAGATGATTTTTTTATCTTCATATTTATATTAAATTAACATAAACCAAGGCTAGGTACGGGAATTGGGGTGCCACATACTCGTACTATCGTGTATCAAAATCTAGCAAAAGTCCGATATTGTTGGTGACATTGGCGTCACTATCAAAATTTGCAATGGGGGAGGGGGGGGGAGGTGGAAAAATTTTTTAGAAATCCGTTTGAACGTTTCTTCAGTCTGCAATGTAATGGCATTGGCATTTGATTATTGCCAAGAAATCGCATATGTACTGTTTTTGTTTATACAGGAGTGCGACACTTGCAGTGTACCTAATATATACAGGGTGAATTCTAACTTATTTTATTAAATTTAAGGGATGGTAGATCCCTTAATGGTATGTCCATATAAAAAAAATAAAAAATCTATGTGCTAGTTTCCGAGAAAAAAAAATAAAACATTTTGAGATCCTATTAACTGACCTATCTCAACCGAAAAGAAATTAAGATAGGTTGGGTGACTACGACATTGACCTTGTTTTTTGCAATAATTGGTTCACCACTTTTTGCCACTTTGTCTCCGATGGAATTTTTTAACATAATCCTTTCAAACGCGCCGACCGCTGATCTCGACGTAAATGAAAGTCGGCACCGTTGTGCTACCGCACAAACTGTGCCGATGTAATAATGAATGCCGTCCACTAACAGAGCCGACCTGAAGCGAATTTGTGGAATTTTTTTTCCTGTTAATAAATAAATGCAATACATTTTTGTAGAGTTCGGTGCACTTTGTCACTGTGAACCTACTGCTCCTTACGCTTTTTTTATGATTTTTCTATGACGAATTAAATAGGAAGGGGATGAAGTTATACTGCAGGAGCTTTTTGCTAAACATTCAGTTACGATATTGTTAGTGATTGAAAAGGTTACTATTTTTTTTATTTAATTTTTAAGGAGGTATGTAGAAATTTGATAAGAAGGGCTCAACTGTGTGTGCAGGTTGGTGGTGACAATTTTGAACACTTATTGTATTCTGGCTACTTTTGTGACTACCTAATAAATTTAAAAAATTGGGGGGGGGGGGGGGGGGGGGGGGGGGGGGGGGGGGGGGGGGGGGGGGGGGGGGGGGGGGGGGGGGGGGGGGGTAAAAAAAGGGGGAAAAAAAAAAAGGAAACCCCAACACAAAAAAAGAAAAAGGGAAGGGGGAAACACAAGGGGGGGGGGGGGGGGGGCAAAAGGGGGGGGGTAAATTGGGGGGGGGGGGGGGGGGGGGGGGGGGGGGGGGGGGGGGGGGGGGGGGGGGGGGGGGGGGGGGGAAAAAAAAAAGGGGGGGGGAGGGGGGGGGGGGGCAGGCGGGGGGGGGGGGGGGGGGGGGGGGGGGGGGGGGGGGGGGGGGGGGGGAAAAAAAAAAAAAAAGGAGAAAAAAAAAAAAAAAAAAAAAAAAAAAGGGGGAAAAAAAGAAAAAGGGAAAAAGAAAAAAAAGGAGGGGGGGGGGAGGGGGGGGGGGAAAAAGGAGGCAAAAAGGGGGGGGGGGGGGAGGGGGGGGGGGAAAGGGGGGGGGGGGGGGGGGGAGAAAAGGGAAAAAAGAAAGGGGGGAAAAAAAAAGGGGGAAAAAAAAAAGGGGAAAAAAAAAGAGGGGGGGGAGGGAGGAGAGAGGGGAGGGGGGGGGGGGGGGGGGGGGGGGAAAAAAAAGAAAGAGGGGGGGGGGGGGGGGGGGGGGGGGGGGGGGGGGCGGGGGCAAAAAAAAAAAAGAGGGGGGGGGGGGGGGGGGGGGGGGGGGGGGGGGAAGGAGGGGGGGGGAGCAGAGGGGGGGAGAAAAAAGGGGGGGGGGAGGGAAAAAAGGGGACGGGGGGGGGGGGGGGGGGGGGGGGGGGGGGGCGGCGGCCCGGGGGGGGGGGGGGCCCCGGGGGGGGGGGGAAAAAAAAAAAAAAAAAGAAAAAAAAAAAAAAAAAAAAAAAAGGGGGGGGGGGGGGGGGGACCCCCGGGGGGGGGGGGGGGGGAGGGGTGGGGGGGGGGGGGGGGGGGGGGGAAAAAAGGGGGGGGGGAAAGGGGGGGGGGGGGGGGGGGGAGGGGGGGGGGGGAAAATGGGGGGGGGGGGGAGGGGGGCGGGGGGGGGGGGGGGGGGAAAAAGGGGGGGGAGGGGGGGGGGGGGGGGGAAAAAAGGGGGGGAAAGGGGGGGGGGAAAAAAAGGGGGAAAAGGGGGGGGGCCCCCGGGTTTGTTTTTTAAGGAATTTTAAAAAATTTTGGGAAAATTTTTTTTGGCGGGGGGAAAAGGAAAGTTCACATTCCAAATTTCAACCAAAAAAAATGGGTTTTTTTAAAATTACACTGTTTTGAAATTTTATTTTAGATTCATTTTTCACTTTGCAAACTTCAAAACGGTGTAACTTTATAGAAAACCAATATTTTTCGATGAAATTTGAA